CATTCAGTAACGATTAACTGGTGAAAAAGTGATAGAAGTAGAGAACATGACTAGATTCCACTCCTTCAAGAAATTTCAGCACACCTTGAGCGCCGACGCCACATTTTTGCTGGCTGTCTTTGTCCTGAAGCGTTGTCTTCCTTTGTACACGTGAAAATTTAGCACCTTTTTGGAAGGGCATACAAGCACGAACAACTTGATCCCAACAAAATTCGGTTTGCAAGAAAGTCACTAACGGATCCGAACTCTTCCGCTGAAGGGCGCCATTTGCTCATCCAGACTCACTGTTTTTTGTTCTTGGCTGCACCATGCAGACATTACAGACCATGTCAATCAGGTCTAACCTTCCAAAGTTTGTCCTTTTTTTGTTACTGACAGAAAGCGGGTCAGCAGACCTCAGCCGTGAGCGATAAAAAAAAAAGCGATCTCTTAAACTAACTTTGCAGATGCAGGGAGCTTTGGTGTCCGCACTCCAATGCATACGTATTCGGGGCACTTCAAACGCGCCATAGGGATGCACACGCTAATGAATTTCATCATTTCCCCGGGCGTGACATTCGCGGAAAAGACGCCACCATTGTCCTGCACAACTCTTAGCTTGGTGTAGAACGCGAGCTTGACAAGAAAGTCCTCACTAAAATACTGCATGAAGTAACTGATGGAGTCCAGCCATCGTGGGTGTCAGGAAGTGAGTCGTCCTCTCGGAGGTTTGTACAGGTAAGATGAGAGTTAAAAGATGTATTGAGTACTTTTTTTAAATTGTAGGCAAGTTGCATTGCAGTTTTAAAGCTTCTCTTATTTGGTTTTCTTCGAACTAGCTCCTCCAGATAACGCCCCGATGTTCTTGGCAGCTTTCTTGGCGCCTGAACATCGTGTTTTTCTGAGTCGGAAGAGCTAGATTCACTTCTTTCTTGTACGGTCGTACCGTTAGGACCTGTGTATTCTTTATCACCGACTGACAAGTCTTCGATATGAGACGACTGAGCAGGCAAATCCATACTTTCATCCCGAGTTAGATAATGAATACAGGACCATTTTCCCGCTGAAATATAGATGACAGCCCAGTTGGGATTCTTGCACAGACAGTTGTTCCACGGAGTGGGCAAAAAAGGAAAATTGCTTGTTTTCATAAAATATAATTGAAAACAAATAAAATAAAGAGACGTCAGGGGCCAAATGTTGCGCTTTTTGGAATGCCACGGTGACTAAGGAGAAGGAAGTGACGTCAACAACGCCGCAAACGCAGATTGGATGTTTATTGGTGTGGGTCACTGATGAAGAATTCCCGCAGAAGAAAACAAAGAAAAAGTGAGCTTTGTTTTCTTCAGCGGAAATTCGTCATCAGCGACTCTCACCAATCAACATCCAGTGTGCGTTTGCTACGTTGTTGACGTTACTTTCTTTTCCCTAGCAAAACGCGCAACATAGGCCTCCTGGTGCAACGTTCTGGAGCAAGCTCAGTTCTGCAGCTCTCTATTCTCGCCTGCGGAAGCGAGTGGCCCAGGTGGCGGTCACGAGCACTAACGGCGCTGGAGTCGGATCTTACTTCCCTGCCTCGCGCATCGTCTGCTACAACCGCGTTGAGAATGTTCCTTTCTTTTTCTTTTCCAATTTCCTTTTCTTCCTTGTTTTTTTTTTTTTTAACTTTTGTGTGTATAATAGCAAAACAAGATGATGAAGATGAAGTGTACTACACCTCAGAGTCGAGAGTCAGCGCAGTGTGAGAGTGCTTTCTCTTGAGTGATTGAAATTTATTTTTGTGTACGTCTGTTTCCTTGCGCTGTGAAGTGTTAGTATGAATCATCAACTCGCCCAAGCTCAAGTATTGCTATTGAAACTTGGCGGGCTAGGCAATCCGGAAGTAAGACGCGACTGCAGCGCTGCTAGTTCTCGTGACCGCCACTGAACTCAGGTCGCAGGCAGAGCTGTGAAACTGAGCTTGCTCCAGTAATGTTGCCGTGGTGTACAGCCTGCTGTACATTGAAACCTCAGCACATTTGGAAAGGTTTCTATCTGCTTGACGACTTGAAAACCGTTTCCACAGTGGGCTAGACATCATACTTGACTCTGTACAACATGAATGAAGACATTATATAACATATTAATAACAATAATATATATTTTTTTTTTACAGGGCGTGCTTGGCGAAGTTTTCGTTTATCGGTTTTCCGCCATTTGTCTTCAAAACGGCGGACAGCTTGCGCTATCTTTTGGGCGGAGCGGAAAGCTGAAGTGTAGAGTTGGCTGTGCACGCGTTTTCCTCCTTTCTTCGGATTGCCACAAATAGCTGGGCGCGAGTATTAGCCCCGAGAAGTTTGCGTGGCGCCCTCCTACGGCGAACCGGGGTGACGTCACGGCGAGGAGAGAATATTTCCCCGACTCGCCCCGTTCGCCCTGTGGAAGCTGTGACGACGTTAGCTGTCGGCGCGCTACTTTCTATTTTTTTTGGCGCGTTTTTCGTAGGAAGTGTAAATTTTTATATGCGCCTTTATTGAGGTATGGCCTGTAGCTACAGGCGAAACTTCAAGCAACACTTTAAGCGCGGTTGACAGGGCAGGCAACGCATGAATCACAGCTGGTATATGAAAATAAAGAAGTATGGCCACAATTACAGGAGCATCAATATAGATTTACATCTCGCACAATAAATGCTGCTGATGGTCTGAATGAATTGGCAGGTTAGGTATACTATTTTTTTTGTATCTCTGTTTTTAAACAAGATCGCCGAAGCAGAAAAGCTGCATGCTGCTCGAGCAACATGCTAGATACAGTCTGGGCCATGGCAAGAGAATCACAAGTGAGACAGCCCAAGTGCAGGGGCAAAGTAAAAAAAATAAAAAAAACAAGGAACATTTACGATATACATTGCTCGCATTTGACCTTTGCTGCATTCAAATAGTATTTCAATGGACCACACGGGTGGTATGTGAGGACTTGTTTATATTGTCACGAATGACAAGATAAAACAAAGAAGCTGGGAAACTGAAACGTTTAATGGGGCGAACTTGTGCCCCCCCCCCCCCCCCCCCCAAAAAAAAAAGGAAACAGAAGATAACAGCAGAGCGTCGCGGGCGTCGAAGTCGGCGAAAGAGCAGAGTCGAACGCAGGGGCGAAACTGACTGCGGCTCGCCGCGCGGAGCCCCTTATGTACATGCGTGAGCTTCTGGAATAATCGGCGTAGAATGTTCGACGCGTAGAACTTTCGGACCTCGAACAAGCAACAGGATTGTCTCTTTTCATTGGAAATGACGATTCAGACTAAACGGTGTATTTTCCAAATACCCAAGACTGGAATAAAGAATGCCAGGAAAAAAGTATAAACATTCCAAATTACGGCACTATTGCTGTGCATATTTTGGGCAGTTCCAATACATATCATACAGGCAACTGGGGGCAATTCGTCCGTTTTTGCTGCTACCATACAAACTAATTTCCAGTAATTGTGCATCTTCTAAGAAATATGCCTGCATACGTGTATAAACTATATAATTAAGTCACGAAGAAACTACATTTATGTAAAACAACCCTGTTCCACGAGCAGTTCAAAGATAATCAGACACAGGGCCTTTAAAACATCTGCGAACCAGCGCATGCAGAGTGACAGCGCAGAGTCGGGGTCGCGAGCTAATTTTCCGACCACCCAAAGGCCCATAATATAAATGCCACTTCAAATGCTTTAAAAGCGGGATGTAATATCGTCCTAAATCATGAACATGCAAGGAACAGAATTCCAGCGTCTGAAACACTTGCGCCACCGCTTCACCGACCCCTCGCAAAATTGCCTTCTGTCGTGTGGACGGACGGGCACGTTCATCGGCGGAATTGCCTCCGCCAATTGCTTTCGGGATTTGTAACCCAATTTTAAAAGTAAAAGAGACAAGCAAACTTATAAAATGTACGGAAGCACGTCAATATCGGCCTAACTCAACGTCTTTTGTACACCGGGTAAATGAAGTCCAGCTCCTCGAAGAGCTTGCGACACACAACGCCAAACCAGGAAACCGGTGCTGGGAAGCAAGCCGATGCGAGATCGCGGAGCGGAGTACTCCCCCTGACGTCACGATACACCTCACCCAATCAGGGCGCGGCGACCGCAGCGACGCTTGTGTTCGCTCTCGGGGCTAATAACCCAAATAAAAAAGCTAAATTAAAAAAAAAAGAAAACTGTTGTTGTGTACAGTTGGTTGTACGAGGGGTTTCAAGAGGTTAAATGGGCAATGATATTATTTTTTATAAACTTTTTTCTTAACGTTTCTACTCAGCTCACGAATCACGCAGCGTTCCAAATTGACCAAAGAGTTGAAGCAGAGGGAAGGGATGAATTCCCTTGCTGCTCGGACCTTCGTTTTCGTACCCGCAGATCGCCTTTCTTCCCCTAGAGGATTAGCTAGTCGCTCAAAATTCGGTCGAACACAGCTTTCCCCACCCCGTTCACCCCTAAGCTGACAGTGCTGTGGAAGCTACGTGCTCGTGGGCCAGCCGCACTTCCATATCTTGCCACGTGATCACGCTCCCGCGCGCATACCCATGCGCAGAGAATGGATTCAGCTGATAAGAGGGACGCGGCTGCTTGGTCGGGTAAGCGCGTAGCTCCCACCGCACTGTCAGCTAAGGGCTGAAGGAAACATAGCGAGGACGGGTGTTGTGTGACGTGCGTTGAGGTCGGGTGATTAGCTTTGGGTACCGTGGATGTATCGCAGTGAAAAGTTGGAGAGCTTTCGAAGGGAAGGAGGAACGATTTGTCAGCTATGTTTTCAAACCTTCTTAGAGAAAATCAGGGTTTTGTCTTTCTACCTCCTTTGGTTTGGCCCACTAAACGGCATGCTATTAGTAAAATCCAGACCTAAATTAATTTATCGCAGCCCAAAATTCGTTTCATGACCACTTTAAAGTGAACTGGAGCATGTAATCTATTTGTAAAAAAATTATAATAAAAACTTTATTATGTTCACTTTGAACTAATCCTTTTCATGCCATTTATTTATTACGAAGGTACAAACATGACGATGGGAAAGGTAATAGAATTCCGTACACGAGGGACAAAACAATCGTGCACACTTGAACCGAAACACCGTATCGCCTGAACGACAATCTTTTCACGACGCAATCATGGACCTTCTCAATCACCTTCCAAATGGTCATGGAAAACAGCACTCAACATATCATGTCAAGCAGAAACAAAGATCGAGCCCTGTTACGTTTTGGTCTTCCAAAGCTTCTGAACAGGCCTTACGCATATTTGGCGCCGCCTATCGAAGCGTTGTCGAAAATGCCGGACCGCAAACCTCGAAGATGGCGGCCTCTTCCATTGCGTTTTGACCCAATTCTGGACGAGCAGTTCGAAAATCGAGTGACCGTTGGTTTAAAAAAGAGGGAAATTTTCGCACGCTGGCTTTCGACAAGGTCTATTATAGATAACAGTATTCAATCATTAAACGTTCGCTGAATCTCTTACTTCCAAACTAGCGAAATGTGTTTTTAAACAAAACATTGAGCTAAAAGGACGCAATCCGAAATTTTAGGAGTTTATTATACAAAACACGCAGCTTCACGATTTCACTCTTCAAGGCAATAGTGTTCGGCAGGGGTGCAGGGGTCAGAACTTTCATAAGCTTGGCGACACTGCGAAAGATTTCGTACCAAGAAAAACAACCCAAAGAGAGAAATTCTTTAAAAAAAAAGCTAAACCACATCTTAAAAAAAAAAAAAAAAAAAAAAAAAAAAAAAAAAAAAAAAAAAAAAAACGAGTTTAAGGTGATTTTTGGCGCACTTTTATCCCGTGAATCCTTTCGTTTTCCCCGAAGAGGGGGAAACGCGAAAAATTTCCCACCAGTCGTGACGTCATACAATTGAATTTTAAAGATGACCTTTGTGCGCACTCATGCGCTCAATTTGTGAATTCCTACAAAGATAATATGCGTCGAATCAATGGCAATATTGGTAGTGCAAATATTATGGCAATGTCAAATATACTCACTGCAGGAACTAAAAATAAATACTGTTATTATATTTGTTCCAACACAACCGACCATAACCTATATTAAATATAGGCTATAGTCGGTTATGTTATGTTGCCATGAAAATGCTGACACACGTGTGATTTTTAAATAAATGACAGTTTCTCATATGTTCCCTCGTAAGAAATCATTATCTCTTTATTAGTACACGCTTTCTTTTTTTCAGTTTCTCGAAAGTTTTCATGGGCACTGCAAACAACAGGGCTGATATAATAACAAAGAAAATTCTAAGGGAGACATCATTGAGAAAAAAAAAGAAGTGACAAAAAACAACATTAATTTAAAATCCAAGCAAATTGTTCTTAAAAAAAGCAAAAAAAAAAAAAAAACTATACAGTTCGCGTAAAAAATATAAAATGTTATACTCATACGATTGCAAGAACTCGGAAGTAGTATTTGAAGAAAAAAAATTATTGACTGCTTTTGTAAAAACTATTCAATCGGCATGCTCAAAATTACACTCAAAATAAAGTGCTGCGGAAGCTATCGCTGCCATAGTTCGATGAATATAGCACCACGCCCGCATCAGTCGATTGCTGCAAAAGTCAAGTGTCAGGAAACTACAAAAAAAAAAAAAGAAAAAAAAGAAGAAAGAGCACTCTATACACGTTTTGTGTATCTCGACTGCAATCACACACCAACACACACACACACACACACACGAAAAATGAAGCGAAGCATATCTTCGTACCATTGTGTGCGCGGGTCGGGCAAACGATCGATCGAGTTCTCCAAGAACCCATCACGCCCTCGCATTTTTGCTACTTCATTGAACGCGCGGACCTGTTGGTCGCCTTAGTTCCCGTAAGCGCCGCCATGCGCCACCTCTAGTACTGTTCCGCCAAACGGCACCGCGGAGGTTTCAAAGAGCAAGTAAAAGGGGAGCGCTCCTCCTGAACCGGATGTGACGTATGGGTCGCGTCAGGACTTACAAAAAGCTACATTATGGATCCTCGGCGGTAAAATGATATCTCTCCCTCTTTCTCTCTTTCTGTTTCTCTCACGGATACGCGCGCACAGACATCCATCAAGTCGTTCGCTGGCTACGCACGGAAGTGACTTCACGAACTGGCATCCCCCTTTTGGCGAACAACTCATTGGCTAGAGTTTTAGAGTGCCCTGATGGCGGAGTGTTTTCCAACTTCTCGCTCTGGGCCACGTGGCTTACAAACCGCATTTGCAATAACGAGCTGCGAGGAGGTGTCGATAACGTTGGTCGTCTGCAAATATCGCCGCCTTTCCTTCTGCTTCCCCTTCCGCCACGCGAAAAACACAGCGCATGCGCACTTGCGACCGATCGCCGCAGGAAGAGTCCGCCATTGAATTGCAAACGCTCTCCACCGTATGAGCAGGTTCCTCTCTGAAATCTAGGCTCTCTAGTCAACGTCAGAGCAGACGCCATATTGGTCGGCGGCCAGTACGACTCCGCGGAAGGTAGCGTGGAGGCCCGGAGGGTTAAGAGTGACGTCATTTGCCGTCCCCTTACGTCTCTTTTTTCCTTTGTGCCTCCGACGGTGTGGTCGCCGAGCAGAGTGGGCTCTTGTGAAGGTATCGACGCTCGGAAAGAGAGCGCGCTTGTGAGTGGGAGAGCCCGACTTCGGTGCCGACAAAGTGACTGAAAACGACGCTGCCAAGACGAACTCGGTGCGTAGAGCGATGCAACTATTTTTTTTTTCACGTGCGTGACAAAAGAAAAAAAAAAATTGAACAAAGAGGTTTATGCGCCAAATTAACCGCGATAATTCAGTTCTCATCAAGGCGCTGCGTGAGTTTATAAGTTCGATAAAACGCTTAAAAAGAAAAAAGAAAAGATGTATTCTACTAAATAGGGAATTTGGGGGATCTGACTTTGTTTTCGTAGTCCCTATCTTTCTATTTACAGACGCTGTTACTTGATCCGCGTAACGACAACAAGCCCAATAGCTAACACATAAATATTGATTTCTTCTTACGAAAGCGTTACACATAAAGGAAAGGACACTGTCCGTGTTCTGTCCTTTATGTGTAATTCTGCCGTAAAAAGTTGTATGCAATACCTACGCGCTCTCTAAAAAAAAAAAAAAAAAAAAAAGAAAAGAAAAAAGAACTATTGCACGCGAGAAGGCTTTTTCTTTTCTTTGCACTTCCAGGTTGATTAGCCATGCAGTATCCCGGTCTTACTAATTTTTACGCGTATTTTGCTAAAACCAGTAGGAAGTGCAAATATCTCCGAATCGACTCCAGAGCGTAAAAACCAGTTGTTTTGCACACGAAGAGTAAGGCTAGGTAAAACCAAAAGCAAACTTCACGTTCGTGTTTATTCAGCGTAAGGTCGGTTTAACTTTCAGCTGCGGCGACACTGGTTTGCGTTGCAGATGAGAAATTTAGCTAGTGTAGTACCACTACTATACTGAGATCTTTAACGTGCATCACGCAGTAGTGATACACGGACCGCAAGCCCGTACGATGCTAATCCATATCAAATCGGGCAAAGGTGGCTGTAGGAACTACGCACTTGTAAATAGAGAGTATAATATTATTTCTTTTTTTTTTTTTGGGGGGGGGGGGGGGGGGTTGCGGAATATCGAAAGGGAACATCAGCATCAGTACGTAGCCATCGCTTTCTTTGAAGTTCCAAGATATTCACCCCGTGACACTTTACATAAAGGGGTTGTAATGAATATCTGTGTTCGTGCTTTTAGCGTATGCACAAATTTAAAACACTTCTAAGCCTGTGCCTAACACACACAAAAAACAAAAACCACACAAAAAGTAAGCCTGCTTCATATAATGACTGAATTCGGTATTGAAGCGAGAATTAGACAGAAAAAGAAAGTCTGATTTCGCAAAATATTGAATGCCTTTATTTTACGAGAAAGCGTGCGCATCTCCACAATCTTGTAAATAGAGACTGATTATACAGCAAGAAAGAAAAGTCCAAAAGGTATTAACACAGCAACCTTCAACCCGTTTTCGCTAGGACGCTCAGGTCTGAAACTGACTGTGGAAAGTCCTATACAAAGAGAAACTGAGGGAGAAGAGACGAGAGCTTGAGGGGAACTCAAAGTGCGGAGCTCTGACTGGAAAGGATAGAGGGTAGACGCGAAGGCTGATTGACTTTGTCTCCACTCACTGGTCTAATGCGTTCGAACACCGAACCCTGGCGACCGGCGTTTGAACGCGAGAAAATGCTCCAGGGGCGGACGGCGCTCTATTTCGCTCAGATTGGAGGGAACAGTGGGTAATGACAAAGACAGCTAGCCTTAGCGTAGGCCGGTTCTCACATGCAGCGAAGCGCTGATGTAGCGCTGCTCACGTGTCGTCAGCTATTTATTGTCTGCCACGAGCAACTGTTTTGACGGTGCGATACAAAACTGGTGAACGCTCCCGTCAGCACGCGCTTAGCGCGAGGTCAGCGCCATGCTTGTAGCGCTTCACTGCATCTGTGAACAGGCCTTAATCCTTCTAATAAACATATTACTAAATTACCCAAGCATCAAGGAGAATGCAGGGATTGGTGTTCCACGCGCCACACGTGCTGGCCTCAGCAGTAGTAACTTTTCTAAATTAAATGCCTAAAACCAATAGACCGATCTCACGATCTAGTTTGAGTACGCCACCGCTGCCGACATGCATCGTGGGAGCTGTAGTCTTCCTGCACGCGCAACAACCCTGCTGGAGGTCTGCGCGAGCAGAGCAGGAGGAGGGAAGAGCTGTCTCGTGAACTGGCGTCTGCCTCCTACGAACTACAGTCATGGCGGCGTCACGCATACGTGGAGCGCTTGGTGAGATCGGTCTATTGCATCTTGCACGCGTGTTCGTCAACGCTTCACTTTGGGTATTTACTTCGAACCCTTTATACGGGGAAGGCCTGCGCGTACGGCGCGTGGGAGACCAATCCCTTCATTCTCCTTGATGCCTGGGTAATATTGGCGACGTGCGTCATCGAAAGCGTCGCTGTGGTCGGCCTTCTACGATTGGCCGAATGCTGACTATGACGTCAGCAGAGGTTTTCTCAT